CTCGTCCTGTGTTCTTTATCATGCAATAGCTCATTGGATCTGCACACACACTCGTACTGTGTTCTGTATCATACAGTAGCTCACTAGATCCTCACTAGTGCCCTACAAGGTATGCTTTAAAACATTCTTGTCTTTCTGGTGATATGAGAAGGCTCAGGGCTGGAGATGGGGCTGAGACAAAAAAATAATTGCCACATAATTAAAGATAAGGAGCCTCCTATCATCCCCAGAACCATGTAAATAACTCAGACAAGAAGATGTGCACTTGCCATTCCAATTTTGGGAAGCAGGATTGGAAGGATCCCTGGGCTCACTGACGAGGGAGCATAGCCTACTTGGTGAGTCCAGTCCAGTGTGCCTCAAAATGCTAAAGGGGAGAGCATTTGAGAAGTGTTGACTTCTCTGTTGATTGTACACACATATATTTACAAATTTACATGTGTACAGAAATGCACACACACAAACAAGCAAGCATAGGATATTCAAACAAAATAAAGAAGGCAGAAGGGAAGAAGGCTGAAGCTACTGGCTCAGGGATGTTCAGCTAAGGAAAGGTGGGCTGGGATTCCCTGGACTCTGAAGCCAGGGCTCTAAAGCAGCCCATTTTCCTGTCTCATTGTCATGTGGCCAACAGGACTCAGCCAGACTGCATCACAGACAAAGAGACACAGAGGGACCTGCACTTGGAATTTCATTTCATGGGACAGGGGATTTTCTGATGCTAGGGAACAGATGAGGTCATGCATGCACTCAGGATGGAGCTTAGTATGGGTGCAGGAATGTGGGAATCAAACCTCAGAAGGTCACGGAAAGAAATGAGAAGGGACCCAGGAGGGAGACAGCTGTGGCTGCTGTGGCCTCTAGAACTGTCTCACAACAGACAGTGGCTAGGCCCTGTCTCCCATTTGGTAGATCTGTTACTGACTAAGGGGACCGAAGGCAAAGGTACATACAATGCTACCCCCTCCCCAAAAGGTCCTGATGTTCATCTTTCCAACATGGGGATTGCTGGCCTTTGGTGGTCAGTCATAGTGCCCATACCCAGAGTTAATTTACATACCCTTTCAAGTAGGAATGTGGGCTCCTGACATGATTGTGTGTTTTCTGTTACAGACGGAGGTTGATGTGCCCTATCAAGAGGTTAGATGTTTTTCTTTGTTTTCTTTTCTTTTTTTTATTATTTTTATTGAGCTCTACATTTTTATCTGCTCCCCTCCTTACCTCTCCCCTCCCCTTCAACCCTATCCCAAGGTCCCCATGATCCCAATTTATTCAGGAGATATTGTCTTTTACTACTTCTACATAGATTAGATCTATGTATGTTTCTCTTAGGGTCCTCATTGTTGTCTATGGTCTCTGGGATTGTGATTTGTGAGTTGGTTTTCTTTGCTTTATGTTTAAAAACCACTTATGAGTGAGGACATGTGATAATTGTCTTTCTGTGTCTGGGTTACCTCATTCAAAATGATGTTTTCTAGCTCCATCCATTTGCCTGCAAAATTCAAGCTTTCGTTATTTTTCTCTGCTGTGTAGTACTCCATTGTGTAAATGTACCACATTTTCTCTATCCATTCTTCAGTCGAGGGGCATTTAGGTTGTTTCCAGTTTCTGGCTATGACAAACAAAGCTGCTATGAACATAGTTGAGCACATGCCTTTGTGGCATGATTGAGTACCCTTTGGATATATACCCAAATTGGTATTACTGCATCTTGAGGAAGGTTGTTTACTAATTTTGTGACAAATCACCACACTCACATCCAAAGGGGTTGTACCAGCTTGCATTTCCACCAGCAATGAAGGAGTGTTCTCATACCCTACAACCTCTCCAGCATAAATTGTCATCAGTGTTTTTGATTTTGGCCATTCTTACAGGTATAAGATGGAATCTCAGAGTTGTTTTGATTTGCATTTCTCTGATGAATAAGGATGTTGACCATTTCCTTAAGTGTCTTTCAGTCATTTTAGATTCCTCTGTTGAGAGTTCTCTGCTTAGGTCTGTGTTTCATTTTATTATTGGATTATTTGTTCTTTTGATGACCAATTTATTGAGTTTTTGTATATTTTGGAGATCAGACCTCTGTCTGATAGTGAAGATCTTTTCCCATTCTGTAGGATGTCGTTTTGTCTTGTTGACTCTGTCCTTTGCTTTACAGAAGCTTCTCAGTTTTAGGAGGTCCAATTTATTCATTGTTTCTCTCTCTGAGTGTCTATGCTGCTGGGGTTATATTTAGGAAGTGGTTCCCTGTGCCAGTGTATTCATGTATACTTCCCACTTTCTCTTCTATAAGATTCAGTGTGGCTGGCTTTATTTTGAAGTCTTTGATCTATTTGGACTTGAGTTTTGTACATGGTGATAGATATGGGTCACTCATGTGGGATTTTTTCCAGGTTCTTTGTGTAGGCATGTAGTGCTATGAACTTTCCACTTAACACTGCTTTTATTGTGTCCCATAAATTTGGGTATGTTGTGTGGTCATTTTCATTGAATTTAGGAAGTCTTTAATTTCTTTCTTTATATCTTTCTTAACCCATTGGTGATTCAGGTGAGCATTGTTTAATTTCCATGTATTTGTGGGCTTTCTGGAATTAGTATTGCTGTTGATTTCTAGCTTTAAATTTCAGTGATCTGATAAGATACATAGGGTTATTCCAATTTTTTAGTATTTGTTGAAGCTTGTTTTGTACAGAGTATGTGGTCAATTTTCGAGAAGGTTCCATGAGGTTCTGAGAAGAAGGTATATTCTTTTATGTTTGGATGGAATGTTCTATAGATGTCTGTTAAGTCTATTTGAGTCATAACATCTGTTAGTTCCCTTATTTCTCTGTTTATTTTTTGTCTGATTGAACTGTCCAGTGGTGAGAGTGGAGGGTTGAAGTCTCCCTCTATTAGTGTGTGGGGTTTAATATATGATTTTAGCTTTAGAAGTGTTTCTTTCACATATGAGGGTACCCTTGTTTTGGGGGGTATAGATGTTCAGTATTGAGATTCCCTTTTGATGGGATTTTCTTGTGACTGATATGAAATGTCCTTCTTTGTCTCTTTTGATTGATTTTAGTTTGAAGTCTATTTTGTTAGATATTAGGATAGCTGCACCCGCTTGTTTCTTAGGTCCATTTGATTGGAATACTTTTTCCCAGTCCTTCACTCTGAGACGATGTCTGTCTTTGTGGTTGAGGTATGTTTCTTGTATGCAGAAGAAGGATGGATTCTCTTTTCATATCCAATCCATTAGCCTGTGCCTTTTTATAGGTGAGTTGAGTCCATTTATATTAGGATATTAATGACCAGTAGTTGCTATCTCTTGTTAATTTAGTTTTCATTGTCAGTGATGTTAATTTGTGCATTTTTCCCTTCTTTGGGATTTGCTGCTATGGTACCATCAAATGTGTTTTTGTTGATGTAGCCGACTTCCTTGGGTTGGAGTTTCCTTCTAGTATTTTGTGTAGGGCTGGGTTTGTGGCTAGGTATTGGTTAAATCTGGTTTTGTCAAGGAATACTTGTTTTGTCCTTCTATGGTGATTGAAAGTTTTGCTGGGTATAGTCGTCTGGGCTGATATCTGTGTCTCTTAATGTCTGTATAACGTTTGACCATGACTTTCTGGCTTTCATTGTCTCCATTGAAAAGTCAGGTGTAATTCTGGTAGGCCTACATTTATATGTTACTTGGTCTTTTTCCTTTGCAGCTCTTAATTTTCTTTCTTTACTCTGTATGTTTGGTGTTTTGTTTATTATGTGGTGAGAGGACATTTATTTTGGATCCAGTGTATGCAGTATTCTGTAAGCTTCTTGTGTCTTCACAGACATATCTTTCTTTCGGTTGGGAAAGTTTTCTTCTATGATTTTGTTAAATATATTTTCTGTGCTTTTGAGTTGAACTTTTTCTCCTATTATTCTTAGTTTTGGCCTTTTCATGGTCCCATATTTCCTGGATATTTTGGGTTAAGATTTTGTTAGATTTAATGTTTTCATTGACTGATGAGTCTATTTCCTTTACTGTATCTTCAGCACTTGAGATTCTGTCTTCCATCTCTTGTATTCTGCTGTTCGTGCTTGTGTTTGTGGTTCCTGATCATTTTCTCATGATTTCTGTTTCTATAATTCCCTCGGCTTATGTTTTATTTATTGTCTTTATTTCAGTTTTCAAGTCTCAAATAGTTTCTTTCATTATGTTTGATTTCTTTTTCTTGGTTTTCTATAAGGGATTTGCTGATGTCTTTCAATTTTTTGTTTGTCTTTTCCTCCCTTTCTTTTAGAGAATTTCTCATTTCCTCTTTAAGAGTTTCAAACATTCTCCTAAAGTTATTTTTAGGTCATTTTCTTCTGCTTTATCTATATTTGGTGTTCAAGTCTTGCTGTTGTAGGGTCTCTAGGTTTTACTGGTGTCATGTTGCTCTTTGTGGTGTTGCGTGTGTTCTTACCTTTTTTACTCATCTTTTCCTCTAATAGGTGTGGTTGGGGCTTTCTGTGACTGCTGATTAATCTTCTAGGTGCTAGTGAATTCAAGGCTCAGACGGTTGTTCCGTGTTCCTGGAGGTCGCTTAGTGCTCCCCGGGCTTTGCTTCACTCCCTTGGAGTCTGCTGTCTCAGGCACACTTTAGCCTAGGTTGTCGGCTTTGACCTTTCTGTAAATTCTGGTCTGGATCCACTCCTGCAGAGGTCCCTGGCTTGGAACTGGTCCTGCAAAAGTTTCTGGCTCTGGTCTACTCCCTCAGAGATCCCAGGCTCACATGTGCCCATATCTGAGCAGAGGATCTGGTTCAGGCTTACTCCCTCAGAGGTCCCAGATTCACGCTTGGACCTGCAGAGGTTTCTGCTTCCTGCCTTTTCCCTTTGATGAACCAGACCGTAGAGGTCCTGGCTCAAGCCTACTCCCTCTGAGGTTCCAGACTCACACCTGGATCCAAAAAGATCTCTGGTTCCTGCCTACTCCCTCGGAGGTCCCAGATTCCTGCCCAGAACCACAGGGAACCTGGCTCAGACCTAGTTCCTCATAAGTCCTAGATTCATGCCCAGACCCACAGGGGTCCTGGCTTAGGTATATTCCCTTGAAAGTCCCAGATTCGCATCTGGACCCTCAGTGGTCTCTGGCTCTGGTTCACTCGCTCAATGGTTACTCCCCTGTACCTGCTCCTGTGGAGTTCGCTGTCTAAGATCTGCTCTGGCCCAGGTCACTGACTCCGTCCTGTTCCATCAATGTCCCTGAAGTGGATCTGCTCGTGTTCCCATGGAGCTTGCTTCCCCAGGCCCCTGTTTTCCTTTGTTTTTGTTTTGTTTCTTTGTTTGTGTTTTGTTTTGTTTTGTTGTGGGCTTCTGCTGTGTAGCCCAGACTAGCCAAGAGCTTGCCTTAGTGCTGGGTTGACAGCAGTGTAGACCTGATGTGCCCTGCCTTCCCTCCATTCTCAGGTGAACGAGAACTGGAATTGCATCCTCCTGTGAGCACAAAAGCAACTGCATAGAAGGTTCTGGAGTCAGGAGATGTGCTCCTCTGCTACAGGCCTTGACCAGAGAGGGCAGGATGCCCAAGGAAGCTCATTTTGGGAGCAGTTGTCCCTGTGCAATCCCCTGTACTTTTAAGTAAACAGGGTATGTACCCTCCTTACTTCAGGCCCCAGTGCAGGTTTGTCTAACGTAGGGTCATACTCCAGGCTTCTGACCCCTTCCCACCCACCCTTCCATCATTTCCCATCATATACTCCCTTCCTCACAGCCTGCTTCATCTGCCTTATCCTCTGACAATGTTCTTTGGGGCACAAGAGATTTAGAATGGGGGGAGAAAAGTCAAGCTTGACTTCTGTCTCTGCACCGGTTATGAGGATCTGTCCAATGTCTGATCAACAACAATAAAGCAGAGCAGGTGCCATGAGGGTGTGTGAGACGACTCATAGACTTATAGGTGTGTGTGTGTGTGTGTGTGTGTGTGTGTGTGTGTGTGTGTTCGTTGTTCATCTAGATTCGTTTATTGAGCACATACCACATGCGTCCAGACACTGAGCACTCAGCAGTGGATAGAGCAAAACCAGTTCATTACAGTTATGATGTCACATAACTCACACAAATCTCCCAGGTCTTTTAACTCACATAAACTCAAGATAGGAATCCTTGGTTCCTTCTGTCCACATCCCCAAGACAAGACTCAAGACCTGTCCCATCCACTCAGATGCTATTCTGCAGCTGCACATGGCTACAGGGACCCGAGAGTGTGAGCAGTGCACATGAAGATGCATGGTGGCTGCAACATGCAGACTGGGGTTTGAGGAAATGCATGACAAAAGTTAATTGGGTTTGTGACACTGGTGGTCATAAAAACAGAAACCTGGTTGTCTGTGATAATGATGAAATTTCGATGCGCTGAGTTAAATCACAGTGGATGTCTGCTTCCCAAAATCTCATGTGGCACAGTCTGACCTGGAACTCAGACATCCTTTTCCCTCCGTCTCCCAAGTTCTGGAATATCACACACACACACACACACACACACACACACACACTCCACACAGAGACCTAATGGTTCCATAGTTCAGTGTTGTGAATCAGCGACTCATTTGTCAGATCCAAAGACAACCATGTGTGCTCAACTCTTGTACCCTGCTTACATAAGAGTTCAGGGCATTGCACAGGGCACCTGCTCCCAAAGCCTGCTCCTGCCCCCGGTGCCCACTCTCTTAATAACTGGGTTTGTGTGTCCGTCCAGCCCTCATTCATTCAGTTCTTGCTCTAATAGCCCTGAGAACCAGGAGCCCCAGAGTCCCGGAGTGTGAGAAGATGCATGTCCCCTAGACCTCAGAACAAATCACCCTCTGCATTGTGCTCTATCTGAGCCCTTGGTGACCCTGGTGATACTGGTCTACTATTCTATATTGCCTCTTCTGAAACACCCCCAGATACACAGAGAAGGTTTTTAACAAACAATGCTTATGGGTCTGGTGTGGGAAGTCCTTCTGTATATGTGCTGCTTTTATTGGTTAATGAATAAAGAAAATGCTTTGAGTCTGTAGCAGGGCAGAACAATGTTAGGCAGGGAAACCTAAACTGAATGCTGGGAAAAGGAGGCGGAGTAAGGGAGACACCATGTATCTGCCAGAAGGGAAAGACACAAGCTGCCAGCCAGAACCTTGTCAGTAGGCCATGAGCCTTGTAGTAAAATATAAAATAATAGAAATGGGCACCTCATAAATGTTAGGTTTTCTGTGATGTGACCCTATTGGGATTTCCACACTGAAGAAGGTAGGGAGAGGCTGACAGTCTACCACCAAACTCCAGTGAGGGGTTTCTGGGCTGCTGCTAGGTGGCCCACAAATTTGCCCAAAGTTAGTCAGGTATGCTAGAGTCCTGAAGAAACTCCAGGAACATTCCTAATTTCTAGAGAAAGGCAGCGTACATCAGGCCTACACTGCAGTCATTCCAACCCTGAGGCAGGAGGATAGTGAACTCCAGGCCAGCTTGGTCTACATAACTAAAGCCCACATCAAAACAAACAAAAACAGCAAAGAAAAATAACTAACCTGTTATTGTGGCACAGGAACTTCCGTCTGTAACAGAAAACACATGATCATGTCATGAGCCCACACTGCTACTTGGAAGCAGATGCAAATGAGCCCTGGGGGTGGGTACCATGACTGGCCACCTGAAGCCCCTCAGAAGAAGGGACAGTGCATCCCCATGTTGGGAAGATGGCCATCAGGACTTTTAGGGATGGACAGGGGTCTTAACCGGTTGAAGGTGCACATAACCCTACCTGAGTTCCCCTCATTCAGTAACAGATCTGCCAAATGAGAGACAAGGCCAAGCCACAGTCTGCTGTGAGACAGTCCTAAAGGCCACAGCAGCCACAGCTGTCTCCCTCCTGGGTACCTTCTCCTTTCCTTCCTGACCTTCTGAGGTTTGCTTCCCACGTCCATGCACCCATGCTAAGCTCCATCCTGAGTCCACGCATGACCTCATCTGTTCCCTAGCATCAGAAAGTTCCCTGTCCAATGAGAGGAAAGGTCTAAGTACAAATCCCCCCTGTGTCTCTTTGACTGTGACACAGCCCTGCTGAGTCCCATTGGCCACATGATGATGAGACAGGAAAGATGGGCTGCTTCAAGGACCTGAACACTGGCTTCAAGTTCACAGGAATCCCAGCCCCTCCTCTCCTCAGCTGAACATTCCTGAGCCAGTGGCTTCAGCTCTCTTATCCTGGTGCCTCGTGTGTGTGTGTGTGTGTGTGTGTGTGTGTGTGTATGTGTGTGTGTGTATGTGTGTGTTTATGTGTGTATGTGTGTGTTTCTGTGTACGCATGCATTTGCATGTGTATGTATGTATGTATGTGTTTATGTGTGTGCAATCAACAAAGAACACTATAGTCCTCAACTTCTGTCCTCCTCAGCATTTGGGTTGCACTGGACTGGAATTCACCAAGGAGACTATGCTCCCTGACCACCCAGGGCAGAGATCTTGTTATCCATGCACTGGAACGGCAGGTGCATTGTCTGGCTCACTTACATGATCCTGGGGATGATATTAAGCTCCTTTCCCTTGCTTATGTGACAAGTGTTTATTGATTAAACCATATCCCCAGCCCTGAGCCTTCTTGTTCAACCAGAAAGACAAGGATGTTATTAAAGAGACCTTGTAGAATCCTACTGAGGATCCAGTGAGCTACTTTATGATACAGAACACAGGACAAGCATTGGACAGATCCAGTGAGCTTCTGTATGATAAAGAACACAGGATGAGAATGTGTGCAGATTCAGTGAGCTACTCTATGATACAGAACACAGGACAAGTGTTGTGCAGATCTAGTGAGATACTGTATGATAAAGAACAAAGGACAGAGCATGTGTGAGGATCCAGTGTATAATAAAGTGTGCAGGAAGGAGCCTGAACACAAAGCAGACAGTCAGAGCAGAGGCCATCCTTCCTTAGGAGGCCGAGTGACAGGAACTCTGAGGGGTGATGTGACAATCTCTGAGATTAACTGTAAAGCAATTGGTGTGGCAGGAAAACCTATAAGCCTGGGCATCTTTGTCTGAATATTCTTGAAATAGATGGCGTGACCAGATCTGTGTACAGGGGACAAGATGATGACAAGTTCTCACCGGCACATCCCAGGATCCCACTAGGGAACCATCCCATCTTTTAAAGCATGGGTATCACAGCCAGGCTGCAGCCTCTTCTGCCAGCCACCACCAGCCCTCTGAGTTGGAACTAGCCACGTTCCCTGTTGGGTCAGCTGGGTCCAGGATCACAGGCCTGCAGAGCAACATTCAGAGAGGTAAGTGATCAGCTGACCAGGGCTATAGATACCACTGCACAGGGACAGAGGAGGAGCCCAGCAGAGCTCTGCTATTGCAAATTTGTCCTGAGTTCCTGTCCCAGAGCATAGAGAAAGCCTAGAGTGATCCCTGGACATGACTTGGAAGGGCTGTGTTCTCTATCCTTTAGTAGCTGTATATCCTGGGTCAGGTCCCTCAGCCTCTCAAGTCTGTGAAATGGAGAGAGTTGAACCAGCCCATCTCAAAGGATGAGGTGTGAGGGTAGAACACAATGCAGGATCAAGACATGTAACAAGTCTACTGCATTGTTTACTGTTCACTAGTCCAGCACTGTTCTGTGCCTGGAGGCCTTACGATACTGTTACAGTTGGAACAGCTCAGTTCCGGCTCCATGCGCTCCCCTCTCTACTGGACAAGGTCAGAGTCTTGATTTCCTCATCTGCAGACAGGAGAGCCCACCCCTGACTCCCAGGGCTGCAGGTCCTCATGTCAACCAGGTGACAGCAGGACAGTGCCCAGGACAGTGACAGGACAGGAGATGCTCCATTGACATGGAGCTCCCACCTCCGTATTTCCACTGCCACAGCCTGGAGCCCCTGGTGAGGAGCTGAGTCATGAAGAAACAGACTACCTGGTTCTTCTGAGCTGACTGAGCAGGTAGTTGGAGATGTCTTTCAAGTCGTCTTGAAAGTCATAATACTCTGTCCAGTAGATTCGAAGCTGCTTGTACTTGGTGACCAGTTCCAAGACTGTTCGGAAGCCCTGGTCTGTGTTGAACTCAGTGTCTCCACTCCCACGATCCCAGGCGTAGACTGTGAGCAGCTCCAGGTCATACTGTGGGTGCAGCGGCTTCCCCAGCTTCTCCTTACACTGAGAAGAGAAAAGCAATGAGAGAAATGGGCCTGTGAGCTGTTGTGTGGGGACCACTTCTCACGGGGTCAGTTCAGCTGCCATCTGATGTCACTACAGGTTTATTAACACACAGTCATTCCCGTTCTTGTAGATTCAGTCTGTGTGCACTACCATGCTATAGCTAAGGTCTGTGTGGTTGAGATGGAGACTGTGTGGTCCTCAGAGACTGAGCATTTACCAGCAGTTACAGGAGGAATCATGCCACAGTGATTGACAGGCAGGGTGTGAGAGTAGGGGCGGGATAGTAATGGTGTTCACCATTGATGGTTTTGTCACAGGCTCTGAAATAACTAGGAAAAGGCTAGGGAGAGGGCCCAATGGGTAAAGTGCCACCCTCTCCTTGCAAGGGTGAGAACTATGGGTAACTGCCCAGAAAGCCAGATATCACTGTTGTTTCCAGAGTTTTGGAAGTTGTCTACAATTTAACTGCTATTCACTCATGTAATGTTATATCCTTCTTGGATCTTTGATGGAGTAAAAGAAAAGAAATCCTAGCCAGGTGGGACCGGGACCCAATGTGCACTTCTGGAGGGAGTCCCCACACGCAGCCCCAGCCTGTGTTATTGGCTAAAAATCCTCAGGTAAACAACTTTTGTGAATTCATACCCCAAACTTTGGGCAAAAAAATGTATCACAAATGATAAAAATCCAAAAAACATAAAATGGAATTAAACCTGAAAACCAGAAAAGCAAA